TCTCTCTCTCTCTCTCTCTCTCTCTCTCTCTCTCTGTCTGTCTCTCTCTGTGTGTGTGTGTGTGTGTGTGCGCACACTTGTGTGTGTCTTTCTCCCCCATTCTCTCTCTAAATGAGAAAGGGTGATGAGAAGAGTGGTACAGGAAAAGGGGATGGGAGGAGGGGAAGATAAGAGAGACAAGGGAATGAAGAAAGGGGGACGAGAATTGAGTAAACGCACATATAGAGATGCAGGTGAAAGGGTGTCTGAACTCACGGCTTATTTGTGAGTAAAATGCGACTAGCTGGCAACCAGTCATGTACATGGCCTGGCTTTCTTTTGCTGTCGATAATTGTTGTTCCCTTCCCACTCCCATCCTTTCCCTCCGTGAAATACTGCCACACCCATTCCACAAGTGCCATATGTATTGGATCATCCCCGCTCACAAGGTCCCAGCCATTTAGTACTTGACTGCTCGCCTGTGAAAGCTGCGAAACCTTTTCGCGATTCTGTGCTGTACTCTTGACCCTTGGTGACGAAATTGCTGCAGTCGTCTCACGCTGCTTCACCTCTGGTCTTTCTATCCTCATGTAATCCCTTGAACAGCCCAACTTGCGATCTCTGACCTCGTCAACCTTTTCCCAGCATCCTAAACACAGATCAAAGTTCTTCTGCTTCATGCTTTTGAACCGCGGACCTTTCAAAGGATTCATCGCGCAACCATCGCAGTAGACTCCAGTATGAACAGCAGGTGTGGTTTGGGCATGCTCAGAGAGGCTCATTGACAAGGCGCGTGCGAGTTCGAAGGCATCGAATCCATCATTGTCCCATGGCTGCTCAGCATCCTTGTGCACGAGGAACATCTCCTTCCAGCTGCCCCATCGTCTATGCTTTGCACTTGGTCGCAAGTCATTCAATAAGTTGATGTTCCACTCCCTTTCCCGTCCACCGGTCTTCCGCCTCGGTCTCAATTCTACGCAGTGCAACTCTTGCTCCTGTGTAGCTGCACCTGCCGTTGGTGATGCATAGGCACCTGCTGTTGGCGATCCATTCCCAGTGTATTTGAAGTCGACAATCCGAGCACGGAGTCCAAAGGAGCGCAGCAATGCTGCACACTCTGTTGTCCCTATCCATTTATTTGTCCCATGGACCTTCCAACCAAGTTGCTCGGCGCCCATCATGTCAAAACCTGAACGCCACGCCCTCTCCAGCCACTGCTGCAAATCCTTGATGGACGGCACAAAACCGACCCCTCCAAATAGAACGCGTTTCGCATCTTCCCTCATCCGGATGAGGTGCGAACAAAGCATCTGGATGTTACGCCACCCGCAGCCCCATCCCAGATCATCCTTCTTCTTACTCTCATAGTGATCCACATGCCCAGCCAAAGCTACTTGAAAAATGGAATGCTCCTCCTGGTTGATCTCCTCCTCGACAGCCTGCCTGAGAAGAGGCATCAACCCCTCCTTCAACATGGGATTGAACTCACCGATTATCTGATTCCTCGTCAGCAAGTTGATCTCTGAGTTTTCTTCCTTCTCCCCTGCCTTCCCCACTGCCTTGCTCACCAACCTATCCCTCCCACTGTCGGCCCTCACCAACTGCTTCGTCTGGACGACTTCAGGACTCCTCGTGACCCCAACCATTGACCTTGGGTCTTGCAGCTACACAACAAATATCGAAACGCAAGACAACGTCGATCTTAGAAGCGCATCAGCGCCAACTACTAGTAGGTAAGGACAACATCCATGTCATTTGCCATGCACCATGAAAGTAAATAGGGAAAATTTTCGAAATGCCCCTGAAGTTTGTGTTTATGTGCGGCGTGCCCCTCTGATGGCCTACTTACCTTGTCGCGCCCCTCTGACGACGAAAGATGTTTCCAGAAAACCCCTGGCGTCGTTTGGGCCTGAAAATGTTTAATATGCCCCTACCGGTACCAGTACCAAATTTTCAGTATGCCCCTACGGGATGGCCTTTGAGAACCAGCACAAAAGTTTCCCATATGCCCTTATTGGTACCGTCCATCTTTCCAGTGAGCCCCTGTGGCCGTTGTTGACACTCGCAGTCTTTCCCCTGGCCCTGGGAGAGATGCTACCGGGGCATATCAGAAATTTGGAGATGAGCATGGACACACACACACACACACACACACACACACACACACACACACATATACTCACACACGCGCACACACACGCACGCACACACAC